GTCAATATCTACAGACTATGCGTGCTCATCCAATAGGAGAGAATCCTGAAAATTCAAAGGCTGGATGCAATTAGTCTGTTTTTCTTTGAAACCTTCAATCTTTAATCTACCTGGATGATCTTATTGATCTGGATCTATAAAGTGACCCCAGATGAAATTATGGGAATCGGAGCATAGAACTAAACTGAACTGAACAGTTTGCTATCCATCAGCATCTCCAAGGACATGCACTCAGTGACTCCGCCCCCTCCAGACCTTCTGAGATATATTCAGTTCCTACCTGCACAGTTGTGACAGATAACCAACAGGAGATTGACAGATGCCCACTCAGGATTGGGCGCCCCACAGTCACCGCAGACTTTGTTGTAGGGGTTCTCCCACAAACGCATCGCCACATGGCTACAAGACACAGCGCTTTGGATGGTGGAGTTCAAACTGTTCAACCAGAGGGACAAGTCCTTCGACGACTCAACGGACAGGCTGTAAAACAGAAACAAGGTTAGAAACAGAGCTCTACCTAACAGACAAGAGGACGTGATTGGATGGACAGGTGACAGTTCCGTACTTGAAGGTCTTGTACGGAGAGACGAGAGAAAAGGAGTGCTTTCCTATAGGTTTCACATTGGCCAGGTTCAGGGGGACCAAGAAGGAGGCAATGCCTAACTGGAAGCTGTCTTTGCTGGGGTAAATCCAAAGGTCATGACCCCAGACCGCAGCATAGGCACGGCTCCGAGTATCCTTGATGGTGATTTGTCCATGCAGCTCAGAGGGAGTGGGGCTTTGCAGGCCACGAGTCGCCAACAGAGATGAGACCCATCCTTCTTGAACCTCTAAGGAACAGGAAGAAGAATAGGGAAAAAATTAGGAATCAGGGAAAGAGGTTCTACTGAAGCTGATCTATTCTTGCTTCCAACCCTGGATCAACTGCTTTGCATCTTTGTGACAACCAACAGGGCTCTGATGGCTTTGATTCTGACAGATATTCAAGAAACATTCAATCAGGATTCAGTGGATTTCTTGAGAGACAGAAGTTTACTTCTGTTTAGAACATTTTAAAAATATCCGTACTGAACATGACAGGCCTGAGTCTCTGAGTAGTATCTATCAAAACATGTCTCAGGAGGAAGACAACAGGCAACTGTGTGCAAAGCATTGACCTACCGTTGTTATGAGCCATGAAATCATAGCGTTTTTTCCTGAAGTAGACAGAGAAGCGTCCTTTGTCCAGACGCTTAACGTTGGTTATACTGGAAACATGGAACAACACCTCGCTGAACCGGTCCTTCTCAACAAAACAGAGACCTGTGTCAGTGGGCAACACACATAGAATATATTGCTAAAATGAGCTAGGAACCCTTACTGTACGCTTCTTCCTCAGGGACATCAACTGGCCATCCAACGTCACCCACAGCACACTGTATCTGAGGGACAGAGACCAAAACATCTTGTGATGTCCACATGTCCATCCATCCATCCATCCATCCATCCATCCATCCATCCATCCATCCATCCATCCATCCATCCATCCATCCATCCATCCATCCATCCAGGTTCTGGTCGGTACCTGAAACCCTTCCAGACATCCAGCCAGCTGGCTCTGACCACGGCGCTCTGAGGAGCTGACTCTCCACCGCCTCCCTTCTTCCTGGACACTCTGATTGTTGCCGCCCTGGAGAGCAGACAGACCAGATTGAGGAATCACACAGCAGAACCTTTAATCATGGTTTAATTCCTTAAACTGCTCTGTGTAGTTTTCCCCCTATATGTTCTGGTGGCCTCGCTGGCCAACAAGTTTGGTCAGAATTCACCATCATCAGTCATGGACCGTATTGGAACCTGGTGATTTGTTAATTGGCTCTATCCATTAATGAATGTCTCCTTAGTCTGCCCTTGTTCTTTACACCATCTGCTCACTTAATGGCACTAAGCAGCTGGGGGCAGGACCCGTGTTTAAAGTCTAGGGGAGCAAAGAAAATCCTAGACTTTCTAAGAAGTTTAAAACGTTTGCTCCTGACACCCCTGTGTTTCCCCACTGTGGGACAGCAGAGGATATTTCTCTTCTCATGTTATCTATGACTCCATGTGGTGCATATCTGTGGCTTCATCTGTCAGTGTTACAAAGAATCCAGGATAAAAGCCTTACATGGCTTTTATTTTGAAGGAACAGGAGATTTCTATGAATCTCCTATTCCTGACCAATGAAAAAGCACAGTGATGTGGATAAAATTGTTGGTACCCATCATTTAATAAAGGAAATACCCACAATGGTAACCAAAATAAATTTAATATCACAAGAGTAGTAACAAATTACAGTCATTTATGGGATTCTTTATAAAAAAGAATTATATAGAAAAATAGCATATTTACTTTTACTAACAGTAAATTATAGAATTCTTCATCAATAAGACTTTAAATTTAAGATTATTGGCACCCCTCTAAATATCACTGGATTGTCTCTGGAATGTCAGGCAGCATCTAAGCTAACCATAGAATCCGAACTATTTAGACTACTTTGATCCAGATGAACTTTCAGAGTTAGCAAAGTTATCATCTTCACCTAAGCCTTCACATTGTTTGTTAGATCCAGTTCCAACCAAGTTATTTACGGAAGTATTCCCTCTGCTTTCCTCCTCAGTTTTAGATGTGATTAATCGATCCCTGTCACAGGGATATGTACCTCAGGCTTTTAAGGTAGCTGTAATTACTTAAAAAACTATCTCTCCCAGATGACTTGGTCAATCATAAGTCTGGGTTCCTATGAAAATTAAAAACAGAGATAACATTTACACTGTACACGTCACACTGTTAAATCCAGAATATATTTTAAAAGCTGCTTTCTCACATATAAAGCCCTAAATAACCAAGCTCCATCTAATATCAGATATCTGATTGTTCCTAACAGAATGCTTCCCTCACCATCTGCAAATTTCCTAGTGGTTCCTAGAATCTCTAAATGTAGAATGGGAGGCTGATATTTCAGCTATCAGGCTCCTCTCCTGTGGAACCAACTACCAATTTTAGTCTGTGAGGCAGACACTGACCACTTTTAATGCTTAAAACTTTCCTTTTTGATAAACCTTATAGTAAGAGTAGCTTTGATTATCCTGAGCTATCTCTATAGTTATGCCTAACCAGCAGTTTGCTGGTGAGGAGTGGACCAGAATACATTCTGGGAGGAGCGGAGGTCTAACTGACAGGAACAGGAATCGACTGAGAGCAAGGATTTAGTCTAGAGGTTGAACAACTATTATTAAATATTAGGTAAGGGAACCATCATCTTATTCCAGGCCAGGTTCTGTGATTATTTTTTCAAAATAATTCTATTGAAGCATAGCTGATGCATTATATGCAGGTTTAAGTTATTTCTGTGACCTTCGTGTTTTTTTCTCATATTAAATTAGTGGAACCAACTGTTTGGTCCACATGTGTATATTTTCTAGAGCTGCTTTCATCAATCAATAGGCCGTCATAAATGTTAAATAGTTTGTTTTTTTAATCTTTGAATATTTAGCAGCACACAAACCAGGAAACGGGAGGACCTCGTCTAACTGAGAACCTGTTCTACGTACCTGGGAGTCCTCTGCTTCACCGGTTTGGTCTTTTTGTTTGGAGGGAGCGGAGCCGGACGAGTCGGCTTCATAGGACCAGATTGGTTGGATGAACCTCTGCAGGAAAAACAAAAACAACACAATGTAACGATAAGAAGAAGAAGAAATTATTTTAGCATCACTTACACACCTGGGAGTAGCCGGGTCAGAACCAGGATCTTTATCCACAGATCCATCTATGCAACCAGAAGCAGCAGGGCTAGCACCTGTTTCTTCTTCCTCATTGGACGACTCCGTTTCAGCTTCCTCCTGGTTGGTCCAACATCCCAACACTGTGACATATGGATCTTGGTGGAAAGACAGGAACCAGAACTCATTACCCAGTATAGATATAGGATAAGGGAAACATATCAGAGGAAAAACACTACAGCAATAATCAATAAATACTGTAGGGTCCAGTACATCTTAGAGCAGCAAACCTCTCATCAGAAGAACTCAATAAAACAAGAAAGTGGAAACTGAAAAAATAAACTACGCTCAGATGAATGTGGATAGGTTAAACCTGCTTTAGAAGAGCTTGAATCAAAAGACATGTCAGGATTTACCAGAACAAAGACAGGATGAAGCCACCAGTACAGTACCTTCTTCAGGAGAATCTGAAGGTGGAAGTCTGACTCCTGCAGTTGGGTCCAAAGATGTATTGACCAGCTGTGAAATAGCTTCAATCTCTGGACACACATTCAGAAGGACATGGACAAACAGGTGTTACCACATGAAGGTTGCCTCACGTTCCTGGATCAGTCTAAACCAACATTTATTGGCGTTTGGTCCAGTTACTGGGTATGTTCTAACAGAGCACTCCCAGACACCTTCACCCATCCAAGTTAAACAGATTAACTGACACAAACTCTGGATCTACAGGAAAAAATTGAATTTAAGGAACATGTCTCAGATGATTTGGATCCATGTGATAGTTGTGACAGAGATGCTAGACCAGGAAATGATCCGGTAACCATGGATACTTTCTATCCGGGATCCCAGTGGGGGGTTTAAGGGGGACCTGGGAAGTACTGCTGATAACTTGGACCTGGAATGGCCAATGGCCTGTACTTTTAATGCTACTATATGAATAAGACCTGTGGAGTTGGACTGAAGATTATCTAAAGATTGAACTATTCTGAAGAGCAGTCTTTGCTTTAGAACAATTAAACTTCTCACAGCTTTTAGGTAACTATGAATAAATTCAGCAGCTACTTCAACATGACTTTGACCTGGTCCTTATTACCATCAACCTACAAATCTCTTAATTTAGAACATTAAAAGTGGTAAATCAGAAATAAGTAAGTTTACCTGCATTTATATCTCTAGATCCAATCTTCTCCACTGAGGGGGGTGGCTCAGCTGAAAGGGGTGGGGCCGATGGATTGGGAATGCTGCTGACAAAGTCAGCCAAGTTGGAGAAGTTGCTCATGCTGCTGATGATGTTGTCTAAACTTTGAGAACTTGAGACTGTGGGAGCTGTTGTTGGGGGGCTGGGGCCTAACTGGGAAGGGTTAGCCAGTGCTTTAGCTGCTTCAGCTAAACCAGGTATCGTTGTAGAAACGCTGTCAGTTAGGCTGTCTATGGAGGGCGGAGCTTGGGGAGCTGAGGGGGTGGAGCCATTTATGCTGGTAGCCATTCCTGCCAGAGATGGGATGTTGGTGGCGATGATGTTTGTAATCCCACTTAGAGTTGGGAAGTTGTCCTGCTTTGACCCAGCAGGTAGAGGAGCAGCATCCTTATCTGAGGGGGAGAAGAAAGTGATGTCATCAGATTACATCATTGGAGAGGTGTAAGAACTGGGCAATCAACACTTCCTGGTGGCACAGAATTCAACAACCAAGGAGCTACAGCCTTAAACCCCCCATCCCCACAAGGCTTAAACTGTGAAACTGTGTTCCTGGGGGCCCGACCATGAAGGACGCCCGGCTGTGCAAGGAAACTAGACCTTCACTTTCTCCTGCTGTATCTGCAGAATCACAAGTGTGAGTTTAGATAACTTCTGAAGTTTTGCTGCCATGTGGTTCTGATAACAGAACCAGTCCTGATCCAGTAATGCTGCAGGTGGTAGGACAAGCTCACCACCACAGAAGGAAGGCTCAGTGTCTGCTCTCAGAGGCCCAACTGGCTAAAGGGAGGAATGCTGGAGCAGACTGGTTGGACTGGTCCTGCTGCAACAGATCAGCAGCTGGGAAACACCAGAGACAACCTGTTCCCAGAGGACCGCCCTGTCAGACTCTGCATGATAGAATTTAAACTTAGAACTGAAAGTAGAACCACAGTCAGATGATGATGATGATGAAGATGGTGATAGCATTTAATCTCTTCGCAAAATCTGTTCTGTCTGATTAGATAAGTTCTACTGAATCCGAACAAAAACTCAGGCAGGATCAGTCTCAGCGACAGCAGGCCTGATGTTACAACCTTAAGCTTCAGGGTTTTTTCCAGCTCAGTCTGGTTCTTGTCACATGATGACATCATTACAGAGGAATAATCTGATTCCAGGTTTACAGTAAATGTTTCTTGCCTCATACAGGAAACATTTGCATTTGGATTATTTACCTGCTGAGAGCAAACTGCTGATTGTAGAGAACAACAAACTGAGGGCTGCAGCTCTGAACATCAGCTGAAGACCCTGTATCTTTCAGCAATAAAACCCTCCAGGGCAGGATTACTTAGCTCCATCTGTTTACATTGATGATTGATAGGTTAACTGGACAATCAGATTGCACCTGAAGTCACCTGTTAACACCCTGAGGTGGAGGAGAACTATGGCGTATCCATCCATTTTAAAATGTAGTCCAGGGTTGTCTCAGAGATCCTCCCTATTTAATATATATAGAACACTATATGATTACGCCATTTTAAATGAGTGTCTGAACTTCTGGAGGATTAAAAAGTAGTGGACTCACTTTCCCACACTGCACCTTGAAAAGTACTGGTCCATGTTCACTAGACGAGCAGATATATCCCACAATGCTCTCCTCGCAAAGCATCATTGGATTTGTGTTGGCGACAAGAAAGAATAAAGATGGCACAGGAACCGTGCAGGGAGAGTTATGTGCCCAACAAGGAGCTAAAAGTAGTGATTATCTGACTGAACGGTCAATTAAATGAGATCACTATAAAGTCCGCTATATAGTCCCCACTCTATATAGTGATTGAGGGGTTTAGGGGATGTGATAGGTAGATGATTGGAGGAGATCTGGATCCAGACAAGAGGTGCAGATAGAGGCTGCTGGAGCTCACAGCTGCCAGTAGATACAGAGTAGGGTTAGGGGTACAGACGTTGGCCCTTTAAGACCAGGGGAACGCACACTGGCGTTTTCAGACCAGGGGAAAGGACGCAGGCCCTTTAAGGCCAGATTAACATACGCTGGCCCTTTAAGGCCAGAGAATGGTCGCTGGTGCTTTAAGGCTGGGGGAACTAACACTGTTGCTTTAAGACTGGACTTAAATTGTGTGTGAACAGGTTCTGCCTGTGGCTCAATGTTTACCTGTGCTCAGGTGACGCCCTGCAGGGACACCCAGCTGCTGGCTCTCACTGGGCAAGGCTCTGAAACACAAAGGCAGAATTAGCTGAAGTTGGTTTCTCTTTAGTTGCAGGTTGCAGGTTAGCTCACCTGTCCGAGTCGTTGTTATAGCTCTTAGTGCTCCGGACTCGAGGTTTAGGAACCGGAGGAGATGGAGGAGGAGCCATCTGTAGAACAATAACAGAACCATCAAAAGAAATCCATGGATTTGACCATAGCAATTCCTATGGGTTGAAGCTGTCAGGAATGTCCATATTAAGTTTCTGAGATTTGATCAGTTAATTAACTATCGGTTCTCCTCTGGTTGGTGTAACAGAAAGCCGGGAGGCCGTCAGAAAGATCTGGACCAGGTTCTGAGGGTTCAAAGGCTTTCAGTTTTTGGAATAGAACCAAAGTAGAAAAGAACAGGAGAGAGAACAGAACAGCACCTTGACAAAGGAGAGAACAGAACCTTAAATCTAACTCCTGCTTTATTTGAACATGTTCTAATAACACAAGAAAAAAAGCAACAAACATCCTTCATCCATCCATCCATCCATCCATCCATCCATCCATCCATCCATCCATCCATCCATCCATCCATCCATCCATCCATCCATCCATCTACATCATCATCATCATCATCATCATCATCATCATCATCAATCATCATCCATCCATCCATCCATCCATCTGGTCTTAGGGCCAGCATCATTAAAGTTCCGATGATGTTGAAGCTTTTTCTCCTTTGCCATGTTCGATATGTTGCCCTGGAGCTCCTCACAAAAGCAAGGAGCTTTTAGAAGCTTTCCTGTCTGCCTAGAACCAATGCAGATGTTCTGCAGAACTCCTCACTACAGGGTTGGAATATTTATGGAAACTTTTCATCCAGATCAATTTGTTTCCCAAATTAAAGTGTGTCTTTGAAGATGTTCATGTCCTGGACTGAAAAAGTCTGAAGACACCAAGTTTTTCATGCCACCTTCAGTCATTTTGATGTTTAACCAGAGCTCTGCTTGCTACTTTGGAACCTGTTTTCCCAGGTTTTTAACTATGTTCCTTTCCTAAGTAATTTCACACAAACTGGGCTGCTGTCAGAAACAGCACCAAAAGGCTCTGTTAAAATCAGAGTTCTTACCTTGGAGTCGTCCTCTCAGAGTCTGTCAGATCACTGCAGCTCACCTGTTTAGACCCGGCTCTACCTGTGGCCCAGGTGTGTCTGACTCTGACTCTTCCTCTTCTTCACGTGTCTGTTCTTGTCTCAGCACTGATAAAAACTTTCTGTTGGATTGATTCTGATCAGGTGCTGGCTTCCTGTCTCTGTGACCTGACTGTTCTAAAGTCTCTGACTCATCTGGGAAGATTAGTGGATCATGTACTGGGCCCGCCTCCTCAGCTGGTCGTAAGGGGGGTGGTCTCTGACAAGTTTAACCAGTTTGCTTGTCTCTGCCTGGATATTGGTTGCTCTCAGTGAAGCTTTGTACAGTCTAGCCTCACCTGTTCTACCTGCTGCAGGAATGTGGGCGGGGATTCCTATGGCTGTGATGAGTCATTATAGAGATTGTTTGTGTGTGTTTCTTTATTTTAGCCTCTTAGGACTGGTTCTTGTGTATTACCTAAACGTTTGAGGACCAACAGGACTTAATAATAATAATTAATAACTGAACTTTATTGATCTCACATTGGAGTTAGCATAGAGGTCAAGGTTGGGTAGAGGTCAGGATTAGAGTAGAGGTCATGGTTAGGGTAGAGGTCAGGGTAAGAGTAGAGGTCATGGTTAGGGTAGAGGTC